GAGGGACTTGAGGGAAGGGTGATGAAACTTCACTTCATTAGAGCAATCGTGCTTCCTTCATATTCTTTTTCACTTTTATGTTTTCCTCATGGGTGTCCCACAAGTCCCAACTCATGTACTCTGTGGATCATAGTTTTTTGGAAGGCGATGGTGATCATCAACCCGATGGCCGACGGACGCTGTTTCTGGAGCTGTCTCTTTCTTCATCAACAAGACTCTGCAGTAAGATCTGATTGGCGTCTTCAGGCAAGAAACGAGCAAGGGTTTCCTGAAGATGCAGCGCGCAAAACCCATGAGAGGAAGGAGGTGGAGGTCTTTGGTGGTCAGATTCTGGAAGATGGCTTGCAGTCTTCACAATGTGATCAGATGCTTGCAATGGATTTTGAGTTTTGACTTGATTCAATTTGTAGGTCTGGTCTGGCACTCCTAAGTCATGTGTTGTGTAGTCAGCGCCCAAGCCCAAGAAGTTTCAGTCTCCGTTGCCTCATTCTCTTCTTCCTTTGATGCTTGCCCAGGACAAGGCAATCTTGGCTTGACATTCGAGATCGGTTTCAGAATTTTGTCAGTCCAGCTGAGAAAGACATCCTGATAGTTCTGAATCATTTGAAGCTGCGCATGCGGATGCTGGGCAAGTCCAATGATTGCTTGCAACATGCTGGAGAGGCATCACACCCTTGGATTACATTGTCCAATGAGACTTTGGTGGCACATGACGATTGTTTCCAAACCACGGAGTCCCAAAATGAATCCAGCAGCTGTATTTATACATATATATATAGTACACTAAAGTCCTAACTCATATCGCTTAAAATATATATATAGTACACAAGGTTTGTTTTTCCTACTCCTTTAATATTACATTTCTTTTTTGCTCAAACCCTGCAAAATGACATCAACTCAACTCCTAACGCATCTGCACAGAGTATATATATATACAAATGTGCACATAGAAACCCATCTTTGCCCTGGTGGCTGTTTCTCTTGCCAACTGTCAGCTCTAAGGAGTGTTCAGTGGATGGAGCAGGAGGAGTAGCTTGTCACTACAGATACGTGTGGGGATTTGATCCGGGAGCTGCAGAAGACATAGATGAGGCACATAATGTTGCAATTCATACATTTGTTGTTTTCCCAACTACGGTGGAAGAAAAAAACTGAACAAATTTGACCGCCTTCCGCGTCCCCTTCAAGGTGAGAAGGTTCTTTCCCGACATCAAGGTCGAAGAGGATGGTGCCAGTTTCTCTCATTCCGGTGCTGCGATCAAGGTAGCCATCCCAGCAGAGGCAAGCAGTCTGAGGCAGAGTTGTTTGTTGGCAGATGCTTATAGGCTGCATATCATGGCGGAAGAGAAGAGACTGCAAGATGAGCATGGGAAGCTTACATCAAATTATATATATATGTAATGTTGTATTTCTATGCGTATGTATTTATATAGATATATAGTTCTATGTTTGTTTTTGCGGGTGGTTAGATGATATGCATCGGGACCTTGGTGAGCTAGGAGTTGTGGTACCCTCTTTGTCTTCTGAGGAAATCCTTGGCCACGGAGTGTCAATCCATGGGCTTGCCAGACGATGGTTCTCCCACCAAAATGCGAGCTCGAATTATTCAACGCCGCATGTCAACACTTACGCCGGAGCTTTTTGGTGCTCCCGACCCTCCATCGGAAACACAAGGAGAGGCAAAGCAGATTGAACAGACTGATCCTCCTGACTGTCCTCCTCCGCTTCCTCCTCCATTGGAACCGCCACAGGATCCATTCAATGAGCCTTCAGATCCTTCCAAGATGTCCAAAGAAGAGGCCAGGATGACTATGTGTAGATATATATATATATATGTTTTTTCCCTACCTCATGAAGTCCTAAGTCATGAGTTGTTGAATACTTTTTGGTGTGTATATATATAATATATCTACTAATATATCTATATATACACACTCATTGTATTGTATTGCTTGTACTTTGGAGTGCTTTGGTGACCTCAGGTAAAGAAGATGTTCCCCGATGTCAAGGTCTTCAAAGTAACCTGCAAGATCGATGTTCACGGATTCTTGAAGACGTTCAGGAATGATGGAGCATCATTGTATGATACAGCAAGACTTGCCAATAACTATGTGCGAGCCGCAAAGTGCTTCTGGAACACCATGCAGCACCTGCAGAAGATCTTAAGCTTATATATATATATATATAATTTTTGTATGTCCTTCTTTTTGTTTGCCCAGGTCCTGGTGAGATAGGAGTTGTGAACGCATTTTGGGCAAAACAACACAGGAAAGCCTTGGTAGAGAAGTGCATTGAGGCTGGTTTGCGAAAGACTGGCAGCAACGATGATCTCAAGAAGAGGATTCTACATCGTTTCATGAACAAGCTTCCTGAACATGATGTCGAGAACTATGCAGATGGGAAGGTTGAAGCGCCTGTTGCAAAAGAAGGTCACGCGCAAGAGCAAATTGTGCCCGCAGATGGTGGTGAAGCTGGTGGCGCTGGTGCTGGGCCAGCTGATTCTAGCTCTAGTCACGCTGGACAGGCTACGGGGCCAACATTGTGGGGAAGACAGACGTTCACAGCGGATGGGAAGGAAGTGGAAGACAAAACAGCAAAGAAATTTCTTTGCTGCAATTGACCAGGGTCCAGAGATCAAGGATGCTGAGCAAACCGTTATTGAGACTATGCTACAAGCCACAGATGGCGTGATACCACTGGCAGCAGCAGTCAAGATGGCTCAAGGATACCAGGAGGTTGTCAATGATCAGGTCTGCGTTCTGATGGCAGGAGCGACTCAATCTCTGTCCCGTATATGGTGAAACATATTATATATATATAATATATATAGAATATAATATTACATAATATATATAATATAATATAACTATATATTTTTTTTTACATAGGTTTGTGGGGGCCTAGAGTCCTAAGTCATCAGTCTCCACACGCCCACCAGGAGATGTCAAAATCAAGAAGGGATCTACTACCAGAAAATGCGTGAGCAGAGTTATCATGGGTGGCAAGGGCATGTTTTCCGCTGACATGATCCAGCAGGAGATGAACACTTGGGGATTAGAGCCATGGGGGGTTCTGGTGCAGGAAGACAGTTATGTGGAAGCAAATGGTTTTGGTGTAGAGCTAGGCCTGGCAGATGGCAGTTTCTTCGTTGGCTGCTTGAAGAAGGAAGCCCCACAAGAACTCACTCAAGGAAGCCATTGGATAGACACGGGTTACCTCAGTTTCGGAGATGCAAAGGCGGGTTTTGGTTTCGGGATGTTTCTACTGTTGGTCACTTGCAAGCAGTGGGATGCACATGTATGAGTTGGGAGTTGCTAGTTTCCCTGAGAGGTGTGTGTCATTGCTCGCGGAAAGCATGCCAAACTCATCAAAGGGTTCCGTTACCTTCCAGATGAAGGGTTGCGTGGCAATGAGTTCAGTCATTTCAGTCGACTTCAGTGTTGTGTTTTTCTTATGGGGCAGGGGGTCTTCAAATAGGCCTCAAAAATACAGGACGCAGTGACATATGAGATGGGAGTTCAGATGCATTCAGGTCAGGGGTAAAAAGATCAGCCAAAGAGATTGCGGAGCTACCTATTGTTTCCTTGGACAAGCGACAACGAACTACCTTTGGCCGGATTGATGAAGCCCTCAGAGAAGCCAAGAATCAGGCAGAAATAGGCTTGGTGATGACAGCTTCTGTGTAGAAATCCTGTGTATATATATATATACACACCAAACATACAGTATAGCATATGATGTATGTGCATGCATTTGTATAAAAGTGTTTAGGTTTGAAAGCTAGATACATAATACAAAGCCTCTATACACACAATACAAACACGAGATAGGAGTTACAGCGAAGTGTCTTGCCCTCAGATCAAGCAGTCCGGGACAAGGTGGACAAGGTCATGCTTGAGTCTTGCAGCAAGCTCACAGACACTCAAGAGCAGGTTCGGACTGTCAATGACTTCATCCAACAGCTCATGGCCAAGCCAACGCTCCTGACTACCCCTGAAATCTCGGTCTTTGATGTTGGACAAAGCTTGGGATGGACAGCGGAGGAGGCTCAGTCTGAGATGTTGGCTGCTCTAGCTGTAGAGATTGCAGCTGGAGAGGGCATGGACATCAGCAGTGGAGCTCCTACAGATTGGATTACACAAGCTTTTCCCATGCAAAGCATCTTGAGGCACGCTTTTTTGAAGCAAAAGGCGTTGCAGGACGATGAAGGCAAGACATCCAAGAGATACACTGCGGCCAAGAGAAAGCATGAAAGGCTTCAAAAAAACCATCAACTTCAAGAAGTCTCGCTCAGAAAAGGCTTTGTCAACGGCCGTTGCCGCTCTTGAAGTCCCTGCTGAAGACAAGGCAGTGAAACTGTCAAGAAGAAATGCGCAGAACCGCATGCTCAAGAATGTGAAAAAGGCCAGGAAGATACGCGCTACAGATGATTCCTGGAAAGAAGAGGCGTGCTTCGTGGGTTGCCGTGTTGGTGTGCACAACTCCCAACTCATGAGCTGCCTCAGATTGTTTTCACTGGAATAAGCCAAATCTTTTTTGTTGTTTATGTGTATTATCAATAAAGTAAGTTTGTCAGTGGACACATGACGTGGGACTGTGGCGCACAATTTCCTGGAAGGTGGAGAGAGGCCGTGCAAAGAGCAAGAACAGGTCTCCCAGGCTAACAATCTTCCAGAAGCTGGAGATTGTGAACTATGCCACTGCCTTGGTGGAGGAGAACAAGCAGAAGCTGGTGGTGAAAAGAAGAAGGAAGAACGGCGCACGCCCTGAAACAAGGAAATTCTCAGTCAGGGGCGTCAACCTGCAAAGACTTTGTGAGCAAAGGTTTCCAATGATGAAGGGCATCAAAATCTGTCAGATGCTTTACCAGAGCGAAAGCCAGTCCTGGAAGTCGCTTTCCGTCCAACAACAGAAGAAGTACTTTCAGCTTCCAGATTCTTTGAAAGTTGCATTGGGTCAGAAGCATACTGTGAGGGGATGGAAGGCTCTGGGATATGATGAGCTCACTGAAGTTGTGAAGGGCTCAAACAAGGTGAATAGATGGGCCGTGCCAGCTCCAGTTTTGCAGGACAGGGTTGGGGTTGGATGATACTTTGGTGTATTTCAGAGCTTCCTATCTCATGCGCTCCAGTTAGGAGTTTACCCAGGAATGTGTTAACACATCAGTGCACAAAACTCTTAACTCATCTGCTCAGAGTATATATATATATATGTGTGTGTGCGTGAATGTTTACTGTTGGCGAGGAACTGAATGCTTGCATTGAAGAGTTCACCGTGGGCCATTCACTGACAACACAGCGCCGTGATGTTGTTCTTATGAGGCATTGCGTGGCTCTACTTATATATGTATATATTTATTGAGCCTTTTTGGGAAGATCCTCAAAAACCAAAAAGTCGCCTAGGATTTGTTTATATAAAATCTGTTATTCAACTTCTATCAAAAATTGAAAAAAGACTCCCCATCCAAGGGTCAGGGTCTCTCTCCATTTTTTTGAGTTGTATGTTATGTAGCTGTGACAGGGAACAAGCTTCACGCATAAAAATTCCGGTTCAAAGTGGACACTGTAGCTTGATGAGATAGGACTTGCGCCCAGGTTGTAACGGCAAGAAGGCTGGCGCGGGAATACAACGCAGGAATTGAAGAAGCACAACAGAAAGCGCGAGAACACAACGAGAAGAGCATCAATGATTTTCGAGCAGTTGGAGTGGTGAAGGGCAAGTTCCTTAAGAGCAGCCTTTTGCCGGTACCAGAGCCATGCCCAGAAGACCTCAACTTGCGCTGGGTGCGACGTTTCATGGCCGCCTTCAAATGGCGACGTGTTGCTCGAAACACGAGCGGCCAATATCTGGTTCCTTGGCGTTTTGACAGGTTTTGGCTGACTGGTGTGTGGGTGAGTTAGGACTTTGGGGGCCTGTTGCGACTATGCATATATATATATATATGTATTGGGGAGGGGCCAGAAGGATGCAGTATGTGTAGCTTTCTTGTATTGAATGTGGTGCAATCAGGAGTGGGACGACCCACGGCTTCAAGCCGCAAGGAATGGTGTGGCTGCCAAGATAGCCACAGGAACCCACAGGTTCTTGATTTTGAACTTAGATCAAGTCTGGAGGCAGGCGCTTCGCTTCAACAAGAAGCTGTGGATGAAAGAAGTTCAACGAACCTTGGGTAAAGAATGTGTATATATTATATATTTGTTTGCTTGGTTTCCCAGATGCAAATAAACTTCAGGGTCCCCACCGTAGTCCCAACTCATCACGAAAGCTAGCTGTAGCTAGCTGGAGTCTGTCTTGCCTGCTGCCTGCTGCCTGCTGCTGCTGTGCTCCTCAAGTCTCCTTCTCACCCAGTGACTTTTGCCTCCAGGAAACAAGCAGCATGGACACCAGATCGCAAGAAACGACAATATCCCAGACATTAGGAAGAGCGTGACGCTGGTCACAAGCACATGGAGCTCTGGTCATGCAGGCCCATTGGGCATTTGTAAACCAGACAATTTCCTGCAGCAGAAAGCCATCGACGAATGGAACCAGCAGTATGTTGGAGAGTGCTACATCTTCCGTAGCAACTCAACCTCTCACTTCATGAGCGGGGAGTCGTTTTTGACACTACTTCACGGATTGGTCACCCCAGCACTGAAGAAACAGCGAGAGCGTCTCGGTGTCCCAACCACCATTCGAGCGTTGTTGCTTTGTGATGCATGGACTGGGTTCCATTCTTATAAGTCGGGGCTCGATTCTGCCCGCAGCGCCTGGTCCCAACAGAACTTCTGCGACCTACCATCCCAACAGGTGTGGACTTGGGCATCGTGAGTTGGGACTTGCGCCTGTTTGTCCACGGCTATCTAGGGAAAAGCTATCAAAATCTTAAGGTTTTCAAGCTTAAAAAGGGTACCCCTCACACAGGCCCTACCATGGCTCTGCCTTGTGTTGCCTGAAGGCCAGAGGATGGTCAGCGAATGGTCAACCCATCGACCAGTGCCATCACTTACTGCGGGCAAAGTTTGAAGAGAAAGATTGTGAGGATGTTGGGTATGGTATGGACATGCGAAAGCGGGAGAGTGGCTCAATAGACATTTGTGCAAGACTTTACTATATATATATAACTATGACATGTGTGTGTAGTTTTTTAACCAAACATCACTGATCAGTGTTTCTAGAGGCTGTAACTCCTATCTCATAAACCACCATAAACCACTGTGTTGCGTGTTGAACCATGCTTGCAGCCGCCATTGCCCAGGATACGATGAACTTGTCATCAATCCCAATGGTCAACCAGCCAGAAAATCCGCGTTTGACAAGGAGGGCCTTTGCAAGCGCACACTAGAATCTTGGCGCGCGGTGCCGCGCAAGGCCTTCATCGCTAGCTGGATAGCGACCGGATACTTTCAGTCTTCTCATTTCGATGGTGACAGTGACAGTCTGACTTACAAGCAAGCGGTGGATCACCTAGATGGAACTGGCCTATTCAGATCCCTGGGAATAAAAGATGATCAGAGTCCCATTGGAATGGTTCCTGACAGGCTGGGACCATGAGATAGGAGTGTGTTTTGTGCTGAAACCCTTGTGAGATAGGACTTGGGCTCAGTGTTCCTTATGTTTCTGGATGTTTGGTTTTGTGCACGCATATCCCTGCAGATGGTACTGGTCCATCAAGATGGATGAAGGGCAAATCGTTGCCTTACCTTCATTGGTGGCAAGGGCCGTGGAGAATCTGATCTGCGGTCATCGCAGAGATCGCAAAATCCTCTTCACCAACCAGCCGAACGGCTGGAAGCAGAAGCTGGAGAAGGTGAATGGAAGAATACTTTCATTCGTAGTTGATTTGAAGCAGGGTGCTCTAGCCACCGCTCACTACCTGAAGCGGAGTGTGGCCATGCAAGATGGACAGCTCCAGTTTTTGGGGAAGGGGCTTGGGTTTGAAATTCTACGCATCGCCTTCAAGCTTCACGAAGGTGAGACTGGCCCAGCCGGACCAGGGGTTTACACTTTGTACTCCAAGAACTTCGCTGCCAGAGAAATCTGTTGCGTTTCAACCAGTGCAAGTCACAGCGGTTTCGACCTCCTGAGAGAGCACTATGCAGGACAATGCGGGCAGCCCCAACTCCCAACTCATAATGTATTGTGATGTTTTGTGTGTCTTTGTTTAATTACCCCAAACAATTTACTGTCGGGGTTCTATCTTATAAAAACAAAGAAAAGCTGGCCACACTCACTGGCAGCGCCCCTGAACTCCTATCTCATGTTCACCTAGTATAATTAGGGCGTACCAAGAAATCGTTTTTTGACAATAGGTCTAAACCAATCGTTTTGAAGCTGCTTGGGGTCTATGCTGGTATAATATTGTTTTTGACTCATGAAATTTGTATTCACCCATCAGGAGATTCTGACTCTGCAGAGGAAGCAGGAGACCATGAGGATGAAGAGGACAAAAACATAGAGGCAGATCCCGCCTGTGACATGGCTGAGGACGGACCAATGATGCCTGCAGATTTGGAGCGGAATGACTTTGAGGAAAATGATGAAGGAGAGAGCAGTGAGACTGAAGATGAGCAGATGGAAGACTACGAGGGGCCTGATGACCTGGGATTTGAGGAGCCAAAGAGCTCAACTGATCAGGCTGATGCAGGATCAGGACATCCGCGCACTAAACTGTACCATTGGAGCCCAGAATGGATTCAGCTGCGACAACATGGAGAGCACCTTCTGTCTCTACCTGACATCGCTGGAGCCGGCTTGGGTCGGCATCCGGCCAAGAGCTTCTGGTCAAGCCGTTACCCAGGATTTCCGATCAGGACATGTTCATGGAGTGACACCCGATCACCTCTGAAATGCTTGATTGCATGCATAAAGCGTCTTATCAAGATCTTTTTGGACCAGGCAAAGCCTGCAAATGCTGATGTATGGCATGCTCAATTGCATGACCTGTCCCAGATCAGCTGCTAATTGGCCAATGGCTCTTTTGTGCTGTTGCAACTTGCCATGAAGGTCAAATGCAAGACTACTTAAACACTCACAACTCCCAACTCATAAGTACTCCACACTATCTCAAACACACTCAACACTTACAACTCAAATACGTCTCAACACTGTTGTCAACTCCTAACTCATGACAGGGTGATGGTGCAGCAGCATCGCAGAGCATTCCGGATGGCGTGACACATGACAATTAGGTTGTCCTGCAACTCCCAACTCATGTGTGTTGCTTGGCAATTGCCAGTTTTCTGGCTGTATAGACTCGTATAGACTTGTCATGCAAAGCCTTTGAGTGTAGTTTAGATATTTTTTTGGACAACACAGCATTGTATTATATATATGGCAACCTTTGGGGGCACCTTATGTGTTCCACTCCTAACTCATGACAGGATGATGGCGCAGCAGCATCGCAGAACATTCCGGATGGCGTGACGCATGACAATTAGGTTGTCCCGCAACTCCCAACTCATGTGTGTCGCTTGGCAATTGCCAGTTTGCTGTATAGACTTGTCATGCAAGGCCTTTGAGTGTAGTTCTGACCACTTCCATACCAAGATTTAGATGAAGCTGTGAGCTGTTGATGCAATATGTAATTTTTTGGGCAACACTGCATTGTATTATTTGGCAACCTTTGGGGCATTTGGGGGCACCTTATGTGTGCAACTCCTAACTCATGACAGGGTGATGGTGCAGCAGCATCGCAAAGCGTGCAGAATGGCGTGACGCATGACAATTAGATTGCCTTGCAACTCCCAACTCATGAGTCGCAAGCCTTTGCAATTGCCAGCTTTCTGCCTGTATAGGCCTTTCAGTGCAGTTCTGACCACTTCCATGCCAGCTTTTGATGAAGCTGTGAGCTGCTGATACAATGTGTTCATTTTTTTTAGGCTGCGCAACATGGAACAACTCCTAACTCGGTGATGGTGCAGCAGTATCGCAGAGCGAGCAGGATAGGTTTTGAGGCCGGATGCATGTTTGATCTCAAACGCTAGATCTCCTGGCACCTGTGGATATGATATGTGCACATACAAAAAGACAACAAGTGTTCAATGTTCATACAATCTTTATATTATCCAGAAAATGTATGTCCTTTGATAGCCTCAGACATGCAAATGCCGCCAAAAAAATGATAGACTGAAATGCTGCGCAGGAAAACAAGGCCACTAGAGTTGGGAAGGATTCGATGAGGTTTGGAAAAAAAATGTCCTAACTCACAAGGCTGCGCATCGGGCCAGTGTATGCACAATTTTTAAAAACACATGAAGGCCTCCGAGGCCATTGAAATCTTGTGTCGGCAATGTGTTCAGACCTTTGTGAGATGGGACTTGCACGCAGGGTTGCCCTGTGTGTTTCCTATCTCTTCAGTCTCTGTAGAGCATGTCCATCATCCCCGCACACATGAGTTAGGAGTTGCCCCAGGCAAGTCCTAACTCATCAGACCACCAAACTCCTAACTCATCTGCGCAGAGTATAATGATGTTTAATGAGATGTTACTATGGTAGTTACAATGTTTGAAGGCGAGTGCCGGTGACCAAGTAGCCGTATTTGCGCTCATGAAGTGCTGCGGCTGCTTGGAAGACACCAATGGGCGCGCGATATGGGAGCATGCCCTATGCTTGAGAGTCAGGAAGACAGCCAAAGAATTGTTTAGTTGATTATTTTCTTTATGATTTTTTAATATTTATGAAAACTAATGTGTCCTCAATTTTTGGAGGTTCCATTTTTTGTTTTTTATGGTTTTATGATTTTTTACTTATTTTATGGATTTTCAACAAATCAGAAAATCAAAAAATGATAGAAATACTCAAAACAATTTTTATATTTTTTGATTTTTAAATTCTCTACAATGATTTTTTTGAATATATTATGATTCTTTAAACAATTTTTAATGAAAATTTTTAAGATTTGTTGAGCACATCAAGAAATCACAAAACAGTTCATTTAACATCATAATTTTCATAAAGAAATCATAAAACTATCATAATTAATCATTATCCCGGCAAGAGACCCCAGACAGTGTGTGTGAGGTCTGTAAGCAGAAAGTCTGGAGATCTGGACGCATTGGGTCCAGAGAGGTGATGTTGGTGATGAAGTGAAGGTGGGTGTGAGTGAGTGTGGGTGAGAGGGAGTGTGAGTGTGAGTGAGAGAGTGGGGGAGTGAGTGTGAGTGCGAGTGTGGGTGAGAGTGAGTGTGAGTGTGGGTGAGCGTGAGTGAGAGTGAAGGTGGGTGTTAGTGAGTGCGGGTGAGAGTGAGAGTGTGCGCGAGTGACAGTGGGAAAGTGAGTGTGAGTGAGTGCGAGTGTGAGTGAGAGTGAGTGTGAGTATGAGTGAGACTGAAGGGTGAGTGAGTGTGGGTGAGAGTGAGAGTGAGTGTGGGAGAGTGAGTGAGTGTGAGAGTGAGAGTGAGTGAATGAGAGTGAGTGTGAGTGAGTGTGAAGGTGGGTGCGAGTCAGTGTGGGTGAGAGTGAGTGAGTGTGAGTGCGAGTGTGAGTGAGTGAGGGTGAGTGTGAGAGTGAGTGTGGGTCACCAAGTGCTGCGCCTGCCACGAAATCTGCACTTGCATGGTCCACCACAAGTGCTGTGCCTGCCACGAAATCTGCAAGCGACCCACATATCCAAAAGTCACGATTCACTGCACCTGTCATGAAATCTGACCATGTCCAAAGTTCTGCGCCTGCCACCACAACTGCATTTCCAAGTAAATCAGCTCCGATCCCTTGCACCTGTCACGAAAAGTCGACTTTGGAGCGCCCAAACACGAGGTTTCCCTTGCGCCTGCCACGAAAAGTCACCACCATGTACCAAAATGTGCACGGCGCCACAACGAGAGCACAGTCGCTAGAAGCACCCGCCGCCGGCAGGCAGATTTTGCGAGCCTGCGCAGTCGAAATGCGCATTGACGATGTCGAGAGGCATGAATGTACTGTAAATAGCGACGAATCAGCCGCACACGCCCGCGCGCTTCAGCGATCTAAGCATCAGCTGCTTTCCATATTTCCTACCCTCTCCCCAACTCACAAAACCATATGCCGTGGCTGCTTCAATCGGGTAAGTTGATGCCGCCATTGGATCGACTCCACTTTGTCGGAATTTCTTTGGCAGGCGCTGACCGAGCGCGCCCAAGGGGCAGTGTCACAATGTCCGGCTTGCCGAAGACTTTGGTTCGGCACGCCGGGGCGGTGCGCGCCGCCATACCACTGCGAACATCGACGAACTCGTCCGGACGCAGTGGTATGTGCCTTGAAGGCAGGGGCCCTCCTGCGGAACCGTCGCAGTGCCAGAACCCTCAACACAACCCACAACCAGACACGCCCGATGAAAACGTTCGCAAAAGTATGTTCAGTTTGACTTTGCCAGAAAGTCAAACCTGCGCTGCAATGCCCCCCCCGCTTCAGGCAACGAATAAACTTCTACGAGTTTTGCGGCGGTTCTTCCCCCAGCGTGTTCGTATTGGCCATCCTGATGCAGAACTACACATCAACCACGTCATTGAAGGGTGACGCTACGGGGGATCTCTCCATCACTCAGCGAGCCCCCGATCTACACAGCACGTGTCCCATGGGTGAACAGGTGAGCCTGTTCAAAGCCAGCGATCGGCAATTGCCTGCAAATGGTCAACATTCCCGAGTTCTTGATTGCCAGGATGTCACCTTGGCCGAAGCTCCTGGAGCTAGCGGATCGGAACCAGCGCAGTCTCAGGCCATTTGCTGGTTTTAGTGTGGCAAGACGTGGCAAGTATGTAACATAACCGTGTTGTTTTGGAGCATCTGGCGGTGTGTCGATTTATGACTTGATTTCAATTTGCGGTTGTTGGGCCCTGCAGTCGCATCATTCTGCAATTGTATCAGCCAATACGAACACACTGGGGGAAGAACTGCTGCAAAAGTCGCAGAAATTTCTTCGTTTGTCTGAACCCTAAGGATCCGAGAATCTACTTTTCATGGCTGCCAGCCACTTTCCAAGGTTCTGGCCCCCTAGAAGCCAATGCTGGAA